TAGGGCGCCAGTCACTGAGGATGAGATCATGGGAAGCGTGGCACCCCTCCCATGCCTACCCTTACGGTCATGCAGGATTGTCATCGCTCGATACCAAACTACATTACCGAGAGTTAACAAAGAATTAATAAACACTGCATTGCCATCTGTGGATTGAAACCTGAACCTGTGGAGTAATGTAATCAACATTACATCAAAATTCAGGTTTAAATCCACAGGTGGCGCTACAGGGTTATTTAATTTTTTGTTAACTCTCGCGTATGTAGATTTGTGTCAAGTATTTCAATTCCTGCATGACCGTAAGGGTTGGCATGGGAGGGGTGCCACGCTTCCCATGATCTCATCCTCAGTGACTGGCGCCCTAGCCCTATAAAATGAATTTTTGGAGCAGCGGCTTGCATAGCCCAGTAAGTGAGCTCATATGAAACTAAGATGTTTCATGGTTTACTTCACTTTGTGGCTTTCCATGAGGTTCTAGTCAACAGAATGCGCTGCAGTTATATTACAATTTGTTGCTAACTCTCGTTCATAGAACTTGGTCTGAAATGAATAAGTCAAAGTCACCCCCTAAGGTCGGGTGGTTGGTGGGCGGATGGTGGGCCAAATTTTTTTTCTTTTTGATCCATGTGGATTTTAATAAAACCCGCTTAGGTTGAGTGTCTTAAAACCGCGGAGCGGCCGCAAAAAAAAAAAGACATTGTACCCTACCTCGCCCCCGACACCTTATCTCTATCTCTTCACTTCTTGCACTGCCGTTGGTTTTCTTCTTTTAATTTTTTTTCACAAAAATCCTACTGGTTTTGAACCCGGGACCTTATGAATACTAAGCTGATGTCTTAGCCCCCAGACCACCAGCACAACTGAAATTTATTTTCCTTTATCTTCCTCTTAAGCTACATCTTCGGCTATAATTCCAGAAAAATCAATTAACTTAATTTCTAAATCACAAAACTATACTTGGTTTCGAACCTTCGAAGTCTTGTTCACTACACCGGTGTTTTACCAATTGACCACCAATGCCACGGAAATTTTTGACCTCTAATCTTCCTCTTAAGCTACATCTTTGGTTATAATTGCAAAAAAATCAATTAACTTACTTTCCAAATCACAAAACTATACTTAGTTTCGAACCTTCGAACTCTTCTTCACTACGCCAGTGTTTTACCAATAGGCCACCAATACCGCGGAAATTTTTTGACCTTTAATCTTCCTCTTATGTTACATGTCGCTATATAATTCCATAAAAATCTCATTACAAAAACACTTATGTTTTCGAACCACGAACCTTATATTTACAACGCCGGTGCCTTACCTCTAGACCACCAGAACATCTATCCTATGGCTTTCTGCGATCGTCCTTGTATTATACGACTTGGTTTATAGCTGCAGAAAAATCGTATTTATTTATTTATTTATTTATTTATTCACTTTTCAATTTCACTTGACAAAAGACATCGTGGTCTCGAACCCGGTACCTTCCCAGTACTACGCCAATGTCTTACCCACGTACCACCAGATCTATACAAATGTGTTACCTTCACCTTCATCATATAGTACGACTTGCTCCCTACATGCACAAATTTCTTAAATTTCTTTTCTGACAAAAATAGTCATGTTTTCGAACCACGTATCTTCTAAACCATACGCTCATGATATTACCTCAAGCCAGACTTCGACCGAGTTCTTCCACATCCTGAACAATTCATTATTCGTTATTAATCCTATCATTCGATGCAAAAACATCCTTAGCTATTGAAATAGTTGTTAAACTAATAAAAATACTCGTATATTCGTTCCTGAAGAATACCGTCTTCTGGGATGTAGCGCTGTGTAGATCTTGTGTGAACCGACGTTTAGGAGGCGATACGTTCCTCCGAAATTTCGGTTCACACAAGATCCACACAGCGCTACATCCCAGAAGACGGCATTCTTCATAGCCACCGCCGTGATAACCTCAAATCTTACAAATTTATTCCTGTTTATAAGTGCAACACCTTCAAAGTGTATAGGCGTGGAGGTAAAGGTTCATATATTCCGTATGTCGGCAGTGAATATCGGCGAGTGGACATCTTCGCCCTCAGATTTCTTAATCCCTGGGGAAAGACCCAGTGGTACCTGTTTTATAGGAGAGAGCTGCAGGAAAGTTTATCTTGAGGTTATAGACCCCTGTTGGGAGGGACGGTGAGACGTATGCTTTTTTGACACGATTTTAATATCCTTTAGCTGTTTGATATTTACAAGGAAGCTTAATGCATGTTCCGTAAGAAGCCACTTTATCGACAATCTTCTTATTGGTCGATTCATAGCAGTGACGTCATAATATCATTGTGTGAGAGTTTTCTGTGCGTTAAACCGCTTAAATAACGTTACATTTGGAGGCGGGGGCCGTCCGTATTGATATATCGGCTTATGCATATGGCAGTCATGTGACAGATGTTGCTCCACGGCGAATGATTGTCACCCGGATGTCCATCGGTAGTGAGTACGGATAACTCACAGGTTGAAACTAAAGAAGTTTTCCAGGTAGCTGTATACTTATATATGTAGATAGTGATAAATTACTTGTCGATATGTTTATGGTTTAACGATGCTGTAAGTAACAAATATTTTATGGTTTCAAGTTGTAGAATGATTATTGAATAATGAACTGAAAATGTGGTTGGACGTAGTCGTGGTTTAATTTTAAGGTATTTTCCAGGCATTTTCCTGGAGAGGGTAGGATGTGAACGATACGGCAGTGATTATAACTCTCATTCTATTGGCGATATTAGGTTTAAACACTTACGTCTGCATTCATTCAGTGTGCAATAGCTTATTAATACCTCAATCGAAATGGACTTCTCAAAGATTATTGCTTAATTCTTTCTCTTTCCTTTTCAGCCCTACAAGCTTCATGCATACGCTGTCAACAATGGCTCATTTGTTACGCTGCTGATAAATAAGTAAGCCATTGGGCATGCTCTAGGGGCAGACATGTCTTTCCAGTTTCGCAATTAAATTATTCTATTAGCGCTAATTGGGAGCCGGGATAGCCCAGTCGATATAGCGACTGGTTACGGACTAGACGATAGAGAGATCGGAGTTCGAGTCCCAGGAGGGTCAAGAAATTTCTCTTCTTCACATCGTCCAGACTGGCTCTGGGGTCCACCCAACCGCCTATCCAATGGGTACCGTGGGCTCTTTCCCCCGAGAGTAAAGCTGCCAGGGAGTGAAGCTAACCATCCAAATCCATCTTATGCCAAGGTCAAGAAAATGTGCATCCATACATCCACTCCCCCATACGCCATCATGGTGTAGTGCGTAATTAGTTAAGCACAGGGACAACTTTACTCTATGAGCGCTAGTTAGCAGCGACTTCTCTTTGCCATGCTTGCTCACATTTGCTATACCCTCTGTAAATACGTCATTCGTGGCAATTTCTGTCAGTTGCAGATTTATTTACTTTCACAGCCGATTATTATAAGAAATGATGTTATATTATGAGTAATGTAGAAATTGCATTTTACAAAATTGTAAAATATTTCTGACACCGATAAGTGGCGCCTGTGGTTTCATTAAAAACCTTCTTTGACTCTGAAATTGAACATATGATCGCTTTTTCTCTGGTTTCGTAGTAGGGAGGAACGTAGTTGGAAGTTAAAGTTACATTTTAAAAATATCTGCGTGTACCAGCTGGTCGTTTACACCTACAACATTTCATTATTACTTCTTACGAGTACAGGACTATATCGAAAATGGTAAGTTTGTTCGATTGCTTTTGTCGTATAATTAAAGAGGATATTACATGTCGTCTGCAACAGAAGTAGGACGCCATAGTTGTGATGAGATGTCACTTGCTTTTCCTTTTTTGTTATTTCACATTGTAAATGGAAATTTTGTTCCTTAGATTTTCGTGTGCCTAAAACCATGGAAAAGGACCCCCTGAGAGGCAATGCGTCAATTCCTATGAGTTATCCTGCAACCTATCAAGCAGTTGGTGGTCAGGTAATGTTAAACGCTTTATAATCCATTTGAAAGAACAATGGGCGTTTATTGGATCATGTGACATTTTCAGTTCAAGCAGAAGAGTGTGAAGAGGTTGCATTATGTGGTCTGTATAATTGAAATGTAGACGTGGAGGCTGATCAAAGTTTGGCGGAGGTATAATCGTATATACGCTCTCTACCATATTGACTGTGCTGAGCTAAGAGATGATGAAGTTTCCGCCGTTAAAAGTAAAATGAGACCATATTGTGGAGTACAGATGAGTCACGGATCCAAGAAAGTCAGGTTGAACCTTCTGCAGGTGTATGAGATTTTCTATAAATATGTATTTATTGAAAATATGTCAAGATTATGTTGTTAGGTTATGTCGTCATTTACAGTGAATTTGTTCTGTAAACATTTAAAAAAAATGGATTAACTTTGAAGTTTGACACAGCTGTCTTTTCAAATAGCGTTTTAAGGAATATGCTGAAGGAATCGGTTGAATTTGTGATCTGTAATATTTCTGCCAAGTAAATTGGTTGTAGGATATTTTTGTGTAATGTAAGAATGCTTCCATATGCTAACTGTAATGTCTGGTGGCAGGTAAGCTGTTCAAAATCATATTCAAGTAATGTTTCGTGTTTATCTCCTTTTTAATTGAGGTATATCATTGGAACATGGATCCTTGTCAGGGTTGAAAAAGGGGTGGATGCTGGTAGATGCTGTTGGTGTAGTTCCAGAGCGCTTAATTTTGAGGAGACTATTTCCAGTGCCTTAAGACATTAAGACTATCATACCCAACTATAACAGAATAAATTAGTGAGCCTACATTACACTTATTTCCTTTTAATATGTGTTGGTAATTTCCTTGGGCTTTTCTACTTATTTGGAGCAAGTGCCTAGTTCTAAAGAACAGTTTCTACCCCTAACCCATAGGAAGAGAAACAAAAACAAACTGCATTCAGAATGACACAGTGGTTAATGGATGTGAAATTGCTGAGAAATACTGGGGGGAGAAACAAGGAAGGGTAGAATTAGAAATTAAATTCTTAGAGAGGAAGATGGAATTCAAAATTTGTGAATGTAGTTAGCAGGACAGCCGGTCATGGTAGCCAAGCGGTCTAAAGCATTTACTGTCTTCGCTTGCTCAGAAACCAGGATGGCAGGTTTGAATCCCACTCAGGGCATGGATGTTTAGTTTGTGTGTGTGTGTTTTTCTGTGTTTGTGTACAGGTAGAGGCCTTGCGACGAGCTGATCACCCGCCCAAGGAGTCCTACCGAATGTGTAAGATCTAGAAAAACCGAAGTGAACAGAGAAGTTCATGTAGGTAGGCCTAGGCCCACTGGGGTTGTAGTGCCAAGGGGAAAAAAATTTAGCATGGCAGAAATTGTGAAAGCTTTGCCATGTGAAAAGAATGGAAAGGAGATTAGAATTGAAATTTGGAAGAAGTGAATACCTTTTGGTAGTGTGGAACAAGATGGTTTAGCCAGTTATTGAAAGATGGCAAGAAGTTGAAAAAAGAGTTTGTGGTTTTCCTTAGCTCCCTCAGGCAAAGTGTCAGGATAATATCCAAGATGAAGTCATAATCACTTCACCTACGTCTTGTCCAATTCATTATTGATTAATCACGCTTCATTCATTGATTCACTGAAGATTGATGGTCTTGTGGAAGTGAATGTTGAGAGTATTGTGTTCTGAGTTGTGACACCGTGTGGTCTGGTAGAAAGGAACCAATGTTTCGGAGTAAGCTGATGCATACATCTTCAGAGCAGAAGAGAAGGGATGACGGTGGGGGTTGCAGTACTTCAAAATACTGGTACCTCCCCCTCAGACTACATGGCACTGCATCACTGAAGACAGCAATTTTTTTTTTATTTTTTTNTTTTTTTTTTTTTTTTTTTTTTTTTTTTTTTGCTTTTTAATAGTATTAATACATTAATAACTTGGACATGTGGATACTGCTTTCACCATTCACCTGCAGACAAGCAACTTTTTCATATGTTGTTTAAAATAACATTATGAGGTTATAGGCTTTTTTTTTGTGCTTGGCAGAAATGTTTTTGCCTATCACAGTTGCGGTACGGTGTAAGGCATAAAGTGTCTTTACTAGCTCGAACACTGGGATTATGGGTTCAAATCCCACTCGAGGCATATATGTATGTCTTCTCTTATTCTGTGTTTATGTAGGTAGCAGCCTTGTCATGGGCTGAACCCCCGTCCAAGGAGTCCTACCAACTGTCTTATGATTAAGGAACTGAAGCTAAACAAATCATTTCACAGACGCCCTGTGCTGTGAAGTTGGAGCAACAGGAGAGAGAGAGACTGTAGCTTGCATACCAAGGCAAATTTACGGTGTAAGGCATAAAGTGTCTTTACTAGCTCGAACACTGGGATTATGGGTTCAAATCCCACTCGAGGCATATATGTATGTCTTCTCTTATTCTGTGTTTATGTAGGTAGCAGCCTTGTCATGGGCTGAACCCCCGTCCAAGGAGTCCTACCAACTGTCTTATGATTAAGGAACTGAAGCTAAACAAATCATTTCACAGACGCCCTGTGCTGCGAAGTTGGAGCAACAGGAGAGAGAGAGACTGTAGCTTGCATACCAAGGCAAATTTACGGTGTAAGGCATAAAGTGTCTTTACTAGCTCGAACACTGGGATTATGGGTTCAAATCCCACTCGAGGCATATATGTATGTCTTCTCTTATTCTGTGTTTATGTAGGTAGCAGCCTTGTCATGGGCTGAACCCCCGTCCAAGGAGTCCTACCAACTGTCTTATGATTAAGGAACTGAAGCTAAACAAATCATTTCACAGACGCCCTGTGCTGCGAAGTTGGAGCAACAGGAGAGAGAGAGACTGTAGCTTGCATACCAAGGCAAATTTGAAAATATCCAAACTTCAGTTCTGTCAGTCTGTAACCCTTTTTGCATTAAATATAATCTTTTAGTCAGATAACAAAATATAGAGTGAAATTAAATTATTGTGGCTTCCTCAGCTTGAAAATGGACAGCAGATTCGAACTGTGTCACTAAGTTCAGACGACGATATGATAGACATAACTACAACTGGGACTACCACCGAGCGCTCCATCCATGGGGAGGAACTGGGATCGCATTGTAAGTAACATTAAGTTCCTCCATGTTTGTTTTCACATGTGTGTCATGTCAAGGTTTCCCAGATGGTCGTATTTTCTGCGCATTATTAATAATACTGGAGAACAAACAGGTATCTAATGATTCTATAAAGGTTTGTGACATTTCACACCAAAATTTGGCTTGTTACACCGCCCTTCATCAAACTACTTAAATACTGAATTCTATAGAGAACTTTTTTCTTTTGTATTTTTGCAGTTACATCAGATTCACATTTTAACGTCATGGTCTCTTTGAGTGTGATGCTGTATACATTGGTTTATAGGAAACCTGCTTCTTGTCTTCATGGTAGGCTTCTTCTACCCTGAAGATGGAAGCAGCCTGTATCTCCAAAATGTTAGTCCCCGTTTACCACTCTGTGTGATGTCACATCCCAGCACATTGTAATATTAATAGTCACTGCTATGAAAGCCTCAAGTGCCATTATATTTTTTGCTGACACCATATATTAAGAATGTACAAAACAGNTGAAGATGGAGGCGATACGTTCCTCCGAAACGTCGGTTAACACCACATATACACGGTGCCAAATCCCAGAAGACTGCTTTCTTCATTGTCACCGCCGTGAAAGCCTCAAATCCAGAAATATGTTGATTGCTATCATGGTAGGTGCCTTAAGCGACATGTTTGTTCTGGTTGGGTTGATTAGGGTCAAAGTTAACAAGCGGTTTAATGTCTTAGAATGAGAGAAAATATAAAGGGAATTTTCAAATTCTTCATCCCTGAAATTAATTGATGTAGGTAGATAAAAATTTCATGCTTACCGTGTAGTATACTCTTTCCAAACTTTGTTGAAATGTGAGGCAGTCCTGTCAGTTGCTGTGTTAAGTTTCCGTCATGTCCCTTGTTTATGAGATAAACTAGTCATGTGTTGATAAAAGAAGGTACTGCAGACTGCTTCTGTTTATCCAAGCCTGTGACTCAGTGCTTCATGCATGAGCTTGTGAAGGGAAGGCACAAATGGCAGCTGCAACTGGACTGAAGACAGATGTCACACATGATGCCAATCATCAACTTAATCTTGGTTAGTGTGACCCACTACAGAGGCTTCATATACATACACAATTTTAGGCTTTCACTGTGATTCAGTGGTGATATTGACCCTGTTATGATTGCACTATGTGTAAGACAGTTATGTTGCCGATGTTTCAGAGGAACATCCTGCATCCATTTTGGGGGTATATTCCTAATCCTTTCTAATTTATCATTCATCTATCAACCTACCATTCGGTGCTGTGTGATCTTGGAACTCACAGTGGTGAAATAACCCCAAAAATTGAGGTGGGGTTTGGGATTATGTATGTGAGGTTTGAGGTTCTTATAGTGGTGAGTGTCAAAATTATGGTTATCTGGGATGTGATGGAATAAAATTTGGTAAATGGGTACCAGTGTTTTGATCCGAAAAGATTGTAATCTTGAGTGGTTACCACATTTGATCCCTGAGTGGTCACACTGCCTGTTCTCACCAAGAATCCACACTGAGTCCATGGAGGCAGATGCTGGGATAGTATCTTAGAATGAGCTGTAATCAATTGCATACAAAATTCCTTAGATCTGACTATGTTACTTGTAATTTAAGTTTTTTAGAAGTAAAGTTTTCTTAAAAATACAGTTATGAAGGTAACATGAAAAATATTAAAATACGAAGCACACATCCAGAACTTCTGTATTTGTAGTGTGAATCTTAGCATTGCTGTTGTTATTAACTGTGAGCAACATTAAAAATCAGGGACTGTTTGAAGTACAGTTGTCTGGGGGCATTAAATTTATATTGTGGTCTTCTGAGTTATGAGACTTTGCAGTGTAGTAGGTGGTTAGCAGCGTTTCGGAGGAGGATACGACATCCATTTTTGAGGGTAGAATATGAACAGCGTGTTTAAAACAAAATGAGGTGATTGTGTGTGTGGAATAAACCAAGTGGGAAATCTTGTTATGGCTTTCAGAAATCTCATTTAGAGCTTTGTAGTTGAATGTGCAAACCTAACAGCTGTAAACATGACTGGAAGGGTTAGGGACATCCCATAGAATGAAGGGCTGATGGGAAATGTGAAAACAGTTGCTGCATAATATGTGAATTGTGACTGACAATCAGAACCTTGTCAGTTGATATGAAGTAAATCTAAGGAAGGCAGGGATACATCAGACACATCACCCTTCATTGCTCAGTTTTTTGGGTGCAAATATTTGATGTATTTGAAGCATCCATAAATACAACAACGACAAGCTATCCCTCTAAGAGGGTGTGGAGGTCCATAGGGTTGTGAGATGTCAAGGCTTGCACACTTTCTAGACAATGGGCTCACAGGCGACTGTGACATTGTCACCCTTACATGCCAGCTGCCCTTTACCCCCGGGAAGATTCATGGTTCTCATTTCTGTTAGAGGCTGAGTCAAGCCCAAGGCCACATTGCGGCTGGAAGGAATCAAACGCATGATTTTCCAGCTTGTCACATATTGCTTCAGTTCTGGCATGCTGACTGTGTTATTGTTTGTAGGTAAAATTAAGTTTTTGTGAAGTTGAATGAATATCTTTGTGAGAAAATATACTTCTCAGTCACTAGTTATATGGCCTATGGCACTTACGTAAAGTACCACTTTTTTTTTTATTGCTAGTGGGGTGGGACTAAGTCCCTTGTACTGCGGCCACTTCTGGCCTATTGTACCAGCCCCAGATGATAGGTGAGGGTGATTGTGGAGCAATTGGTGGATTGAAGATTGGCAAGGGGAACCGAAGTACTCGGAGAAAACCTACTCCAGTGTCACTTTGTCCACCACAAATGCCACTTGACCAGACCCGGGATCGAACCCGCGCCACTGCGGTGGGAAGCCAGCGACTCACTGCTTGAGCTGTGGCGCAGCCATAAAGCACCACTTACATCATGCCGATCTTTATGAAATTTGAGGTGGTATGATAAATTTGTGTGTGGACATCCAGCATATAAATCCAACCAAATTAGTCCAGTGAGTCATGAATTATGAAGTGACAGAGGGTAAAAAATCTCTATTTATCTTGAAATCTGCAAGACTTACGTAAAGAGTATATTGGGCTTAAACTGTGTATGCGATTTCTCTTCTGAACATCTTTTGTTCCAAGAAATATTTAGCCAGTCAACGCTTAAGATGCACGCAAAAATTGGAGTAGATTATCATAAGATGTCCATTATCGTTGTCAGATTCTATAAAAAAAACTGCAATATTTGGACATATTTCAATGAATTTCCCTAAAATCAAATTTTATGAATGTGTTTACTGGTTCTGGTTCCGTGTAACAAGAACTTGATGAAGTCATAGGCTCTCTTTTGCAACTTTTTGTTGTAAACTCACCAAGAAAATTATTCACACTTCCTGTCAGTTGTTTCCATGACAGTAGGCTGCAGTGAAGTTGCTAGGGGCTGTTCATGTTGCATGCAACACAGCGCACTACACACTAAAATGCACAGTGTTTTCTAATCAGTTTTGAATGTTGGGAATTTTTTTGGGCATGTGTTATGTGTTGCATGATAAACCCTAGTCGCTTATTTGATAATTATTTTAATGTTTTTGTTTATGTGTTTTTTTTTTCCTTTCAAGTAACATCTATTAAGTACTCGGGGCACCTTGGGGGTAAGTGAGCTTTACCTTCTTCACTACTCTAGCTCAGATAAGTAGATATAACTTGTTAACTTGAACCATAAGCTGTCATAATGTGCTTGTAGTGGGGACAGGAAGCCATCGGACACCATCCGGCTTCTTTCATGTCTCTTAACCCATTGGCTTAGACATCCGTAACATTTCTGTAACTACCATACGGTCTCCTAGACATGGTAACTGATCTAAATAAATGCAGCACAATTCAAAATGTGTCTACACTTTACAAGAGACTGCATTTTCCAGTTATTTTGATTATAAGAAATGTTTGTGGGAATAAACGTACTAAAACATTGCTGTACCATTGTGCAAAATTATCCATACTTATAAAGACAGTGGACAAACTTGAATGCTGTATGTTTCTTATCCCCTGTTCCACTTGAAACACTTTTCTTAACCAGTCTTTAACTCATGATTACTCAGTCTCTGAAGTTTGTCCATAATCTGGTATTCTGAAAGAACACAGTGTTTCAGAAACTGAATCTGTTTCCATTATCAGATGACTGAGATTAGCTCTTTCTGACGGACCTGAGTGAGTGCCTTCCCTTCCTTCCACCTGAGGATGGAAACATATCCCGTTTCTGAAGCATCATGTGCTTTCAGAATACCAGGTGATGGACAAAGTCCAGAAATTCAGTAATGCAGAGTGTTGTACATTATCACTGTAGGTCGCGGTGCAAGGGCCAAAAAGGCCTACCCGTTATACATTCATTCATCATCAGAACTTGCTAGAGGTGATTAAATCTACAAGCCATTACGGTTCATTTCTGAATGTTTTGTGGTGAAGGTGGTATATACTTAGTTTTAATGTCTTGGTCTCCATCCATTTATTCTTAAAATGCTGAGTTCTGGTGTCTGATCCTGGCTTGAGGCAAGGTGCAGTGATTTGCACTTGCCCTTTCTAATGACCCTTCAGGTTGGATTGTCTCTTAGCTAAACCAGTTTCTGAAGTGTATTTTGAGAATAAACTGTGATGAGATGGTCAGGACATATAGCACAGTTGGGAGAGCAGAGAAATATGCACAAAGTTTTGGAAGTAAAACCTGAGGAAAAGAGATCACTTGGAAGAACTGTATGTAGCTGTTTTACTTATACAGTAGTCCTAGAATTTAACTTGGATTTGATGGAAAAGAAATTCAAAGTACCTTAACTGGGACATGAACTGTGGCTTTACAATCAGTAGCTACCCTGTCTTGAAGTTTATGAATTATTGCTAAGTAATTTATTTGTGTTCTCTGAAAGTAAAGGGGTATGTGGTGCCATGTACTTTGCTAGATAGGTACAAATGCTTTGGTGGAACCAGCTGTCTCCATTTTGAGGGTAGAAGAGTATTCAGCATCTGGCTTCAGAGCAGAACTGACCCTCTCGCCCTTGTGATGGTGGCAACAGGTTCTTAAGGAATGTTGGTACTCATGTATCAAGCTACACAGCATCACATCCAAGATGACTTTAATCATAATACATCCCATTGTTTGGAATATCTGAAACACCGTAACTGAGATAATCTCCTCTTGAGTAGACAAGCATCAAAGTGGGCTGTGTTTGCTACTTCCTTTCTTCATATGCATTGCTTCGTTTTTATGTGTGCCATAGTCAGCATACATTTTACTAACTATTCCTTGTCAGTATCATTAGTGGATTGACTTGCTGTGTGATATTAATATCTGTTGTTCAGAATCTTAACATCTTAGAAATATATTGAGTATAATCTTGCTTCCGAAGGTCTGATAATTGGTATGTCATGTTACGCTTGCTCTGTATAAGTTTAACATTAATTCATGTCCCTATTTTTAAGCCTAATGTATCTTAAATTTCTTAATTTTGTGCTCACTAATGTAGTTTGTTTTAGACTGTAGAGCAGAACAGAGGCTGGGAACCTTTTGTAGTTACAAGAATGATGAGATATGATGTTCTTACAGTAACAGCCGTGAAAATTAAGTGTGTGATTTACTGGGGTGTGACTCCATGCAGTCTGATACAGCATTAAAGTACACTGAAGATGGAGGCAAGTTGCTCTGGTAACACTGTAGCAGACTACATGCAATCACATCCTGGAAGACAACAATCTTTAAGAACCACATAAATACAGACTGTGTAATTGCTCTAAATTTTGTTGTTTTATCGAGACACCAGCACCGTAAATAGTGGAGCAGATGCAGAGTAAGAATGTTTCTGGACCTCTTGCTGTACTGTATAGCAACAAATGCTTGGATCATAACCAGAAACAAACTATGTGGCTTTAGTCCGCAGGGGAACTATACCAACCGAGTTACCACCGCTTGTCAGCAAAGTTAGTGCCAACTTTAGCAGATAGAGGGTGTCACTTGATCAGTGCAATGAATCCCCACGGCTGTTAATTCCGGTTTTGTAGACCGGAGCCGTTATTTGACCAGATGATAATGAATTGTAAAAGATGTGGAAAGAAGTGGTTGTGACCTGATTTCAGGCATCTGCTGGTGCTGAGGAAATCTGGAGAAACACATGCCCTAGCTGAGGTTTGAGCTGTGTTGTTGTTGTTCCCAGCCATTGATGTAGAATAAATGATTTGCCTGAATACAGATGTGAAGAAACCAAAGCAGACAATGAACTGGCATGGCTACTTTGGTTGTCACTTGAGAATGCTTATAGTGATCTGTTTTAGCTGTTGGTTTGTTTGTTACTTTCTTTTAAGGTGGAGTGCAATTCATTGGTCTTCAAGGTAAGTTAACATTTCCAGTACTGATTTGTTAAAGCCTAGTGTTAATGAGCATGATTGGTTGGGCATTTAGCTTTTTGTCTGCACAGTATATGCCATGCATGTGGTGGTGTGTGATGTTCTGAGGTGGAAATCAGAAATGTAGCATGTAGATTTTTTCTTTGTGCTTTTATATTGGTTCCTAAGTTCAGCTGCAGTTCAGGAAGGCTGGTGAAAGTTACTGAACAGACTTGTGTTTTGTGGGCGGGTGTCTGGTGTGGGTTGTGCCCATACTGCTGGGTATTATGGCTGCAGTGTTCAAGGTTACACTTAACCCTCATCAGACAAATGGTGGAATTGTACATGTATCCTTTTTTACTTAATTTTGACTTACTCAAATTTCATGTTATGATTTCATGTGAGTGTGGTTTAATTTAATATTTTTGGTAAAAGGTAAATTGGAAACTGGGGTAGCTTAGTTGGCATAGTGACTATGCTGTGGTTTGGATGGCCAAGGAGTCAGGGTTCGATTCCCCGCATGGTGAAGAGATTTTTTCTTCTCAACAGTGTCCAGACTGGCTCTGGCGCCCTCCCAGCATCCTATCCAATTGGTATTGGGGGTGGGGGGCTGTTTACCTTGTTGTAAATCAGTAGTGGTATGAAGCTGATACCCCATCTCCATCGGGTGCTGAGGTCAAGAACTGTGAAGATACCCCTGCAGTCCTCCATACACCTTCATGGCATGCTGCTTAGTTACATACAAGATGAATGCAACAACTTGAAGACATGTAAGAGTGGCATTAGATAGAGGTATCAGGTTTATCAGCCCGAGAGCTGGTGTGAACACTGTCGAGAGATTTCCCCTGCCAGGAATTTAACCTGCTAAAAATAATGAACTTTTCTGATTGAAACAAAAAAAGAAATAGGATTTGTAAGCAGTTGTAATGAATAATATTAAAGTGAATTGAATTAAGATCTAAAAGTTGGTCTGGAGATAGGGACTAGCTCTGTCGATTGGGCCGAACTGAGTAGGTTTTACCTGAAGACGGAGACAGAATCCAGTCTCCGAAATATTGTTTTTTTTTTAAATAAACAGGACGGTTTTTAGATAAAGACAAGATGATGTATAATGTCCAAAAATATAATATTTATACAAATTTAATTAACATCTTTTTCATGAAAATTAAAGTCAGTATAACCAAAGGAGCACCAAATTTTTTTTAGATTTCAACTTGTGTGACCCATCTTTCGGAATACAGCTTCCGTATAAGTTGGGGGATACCAGTTCCTATGAATATGATCATCTCGCCATGTTTTATGTGAAATTAAGCTGGCACTAAGGTGTCAGACTTATGTGTGAACATGGCGATGGGCTGAATCTTTGGGGCTGTTTTACTGTAAAGATCTGAGGCTTAAAATGAGAATATACATAACATTTTCCAAGCATTTAAGTTGAAAAGTAGTGAAAGAAATTTGCATAATCTTGGTTCAGCCAAGTTCCGTGTCCCGGCTGAAGCTTCGACAAGAGATCAAGATTCTGATGATATGCCTATCACACACACACATCGCCGATGATGCCAGGTGAGTGCAGAGCATCAAGATGAGAGTGTCTAAGCACTCAGGGGTGTAATTTTGTGCCAGTTTGCCCACCAAAGAATCATGTGAATTCCATGGAACCAAACACAGGTCCCTGTGGTAAGAATCAGTGTGTATTGAAATGAGCTGAGTATATAAATACAATTGCAAGGTGCATGCTTTTAACTTTAACTTGTTTGGGTGAGCATGCGGAACATATTTATGGTGCATGTCATCGGTATTTTGTTTGGTTTTAATGGCATTGTGAAGATTTGGAGTTACTAAATGTTGGGGTTTAATGGTTAGAACTTCTGCCTTATGTTCAGAAGGTTCCTTGTCCAAATATCTGCCCGGAGACCAGCTTTCTCGACTGCGACTTTTCATGGTCTTCATTACCCCGTCCAGGAAAACGTAATGGCATAGTGCCTGTAATTCGGCCATGACACCTTCTTCCACATCCTTTACATTTCATTATTAATTTCCTCATAACGATACACGACTTATGCAAACCCAGGGTGCGTATTTGCCACTGAAGGCTTTTGAAATGAATACCCATGCTTTAAACATATGTGAGAATTGTGCAAGATTTGGGGTTCTTACGCAGGTGACAGTGAAGTTTCCCGTTTGTTGAGGGTGCAATGGTGTATAGTCTGGTAGATCGTTACCAACAGTTTGGGAGAGTATGTTGCCTCATCTTCCAGTTTAAAATATAAGCCACACATGAAGAAAGTGGTATGCAAGTAGAGGGAGAGAGGGAACAGGACTGGGAATTCTGATACTCTGATTCCCTGAAGATGGAGGTAGCTGGTTCCTCAATGTTAACATTCTACCAGACTATGTGCTTTCACATCCAGAAGACAATAGGCATCCAGAATCAGCAGGTGTCAAATTGTGTAAGATTTGAGGTTTTCACGGCAGTGACTATGAAGAAAGCGGTCTTCTGGTATGTGACGCCGTGTAGATATTGTGTTGACCGACTTTTCAGAGGAACACATCACCTCCATCTTCAGGGTAGTTGACTCGACATTACTCTCTGAGCACCTGCTCACGCTGGTTCCTCGCTCGCGGAGTTTCTTCTCTTTTTTTATTCTACCCTGAAGATGGAGGCGATATGAGGTTCGACTTGACATTACTCTCTGAGCACCTGCTCACGCTGCTTCCTCGCTTGCGGAGTTTCTTCTATTTTTTCTTCTACCCTGAAGATGGAGGTGATGTGTTCCTCCGAAACATCGGTCAACACAATATCTACATGGCGCCATATCCCAGTAGACTGCTTTCTTCAGATGTCAAATTGTTCATGTGTACAGATGGACGGATCAGTTTTATTTGTGCCGTCCAGGGTTGCAAACATGTAAAAAAATGGGCCCCGTGTTCTTAATGAAACCAGCCTATAACCAAGGGATTACAAAAGTAAAAATGCAGCCCAATTGGCTATTGCCATGAAATCCTTCATATCAAATGTTCATGCTGTAAGAAGCTTCATAGCTGTATATCATCGTTAAATAAATTATACATAAAAAGAGACTTTCACGACTCACAAACATTTAAAGTTAAGAGAGTTGTATGTATTTCAGTTTCAGGGGACTCCGATGACATCCCTGGTATTGGTCAGTATGAGGATTTCCACACCATTGATTGGCAGCGTGACATCGCGCGTGATCGTATGCGTCACCGCTACATCATAAAGAAGAAACAGGATTCAATCTGTGACCTGATAAAGGGGGCACATGATGCATGGTCTGGTTGGGTGTGTGTGCTGTTTGTTGGTCTCGTCACAGGCGTGGTGGCCGGTGTTATCGACATTGGGGCCAGTTGGATGTCAGATCTCAAGTACGGAATATGCCCAGAAGCTTTCTGGCTCAACAGGGAGCAGTGCTGCTGGTCATCCAATGAGACAACATTCGACAATGGAAATTGTTCTCAGGTAAGTCACAAGTCATGGTTTATATGAAGATTTTGAAGACTACGGTCTGTTACTATGTGGTGCTATTCTGTTCGATAGACAGGTACCAATGTTTTTGAGGAGGTTTAGGCCTCCATCTTTTGCACTGAAGATGGATGCAGAAGCTTTCCAATTTACTCAGAGTGACTGTACGTACTGGTCGATATGAAACAATATTGGGAATGACTGTGTAGGATTTGAGGCTCTCACAGCAGTGGTTATGCAGAGTTCTGTCTTCTGGGGTGTGATGCCATGTTGTCAGTTGAAACTCAGCCTGTGTTTTGGAGGAACATGTTGCTTCCATCTTCAGGGCATGCTGCCTGCTTCATACTGGTTTCTTGCTTGGATCTACCATGAACTTGCAGGTGACATGGACCTCCAAATACTGAATTTCAGTGGACTACATGGCATTATGGGGGCACTCGGTAGCGTATTGGTTGAGGCACTATGCTACAAGCCAGAAGGCCGCGGGTTCAAGTCCTGATGAGGTCATTCGATTTTTTCAATTGACCTAATCCTTCTAGCTGCACTATGGCCATGGGGTTGACTCAGCCTCTAACAGAAATGAGTACCAGGAATCTTCTTGGAGGTAAAGGGCGGCTGGCGCATAAGACTGGCAACCTCACCGTCATCTATGAGCCAACTGTCTAGAGAAAATGTGGGACCCTCAACGTCTCACAACACTATGGGCTTCCATGGCCTGTTACAGGGATAGCTTTACCTTTACATGGCGTTATATTCCAGAAGATATAACTCTCCAATGTTGTGATTATTTTGATGCAGTGGTGGACGTGGCCAGAGGTGTTCAGCCAGTCCAGGGAAGGTGTGGGGCCATACATAATCTCATACCTGTTCTACATTGTGTGGGCACTCATGTTTGCTGCCCTATCTGCCGCACTGGTGCGAATGTTTGCCCCATATGCATGTGGATCTGGTATTCCTGAAGTAAGTGCTGTCAGCTTGAAAATATGTTAATATTTTACTTCTTTGGACTGAGGTCACACAAATAGGGACAGCCTGTAGCCCAGTGCATGGTGTTCAGTTTGCGTCATTTTTCCAGTGCGTCAGTACATTTATATTCAAAATGCATGACTTCAATAAACATGGCTGTTCTTTTGGACATTATCAATTGTCATGAATTTTTTTTCTTCAAACATAGCATTTTGAAAACTGAGTGTTTTCCATCGTCATGTCTACATGTGTAAAAGAGGAAAGGGTCCTGCTCAGTTGGGCCCCTTAGAAAGAGATAATCTTGATTTTCTGGACCAAGATAATGGTCATAACGGAATAAGAACCTTTTCTGTTGCACACAATGGTGAGAATGCTTTCTGCGATACGGCTCAAACACAGTGGACAGTGTCCAAAATAAATGACGTGTTTCTTCTGGCAGACCATTATCAGATATATTTAGACATCACTTATATTATGTGATAGTTACACCCACAACTGTTTGACAGTAATTAAAATCTGGCCATAAGCCCTGGATGGTTGCTTTATTCCAAGACAGACTGGAGGGTTATTCCACAATTCAGGGGGCACTGATAGACGTGCCACAGTGATGGAATGGTAAAAAAGGTAAAACTGATGAAACCTGTTGAAAAATCTACGCCAATGCCAGTTTGTCTGTTACAAAACTCAAATGAAGTCACCTGGGATTGAACCCAATGCCCTGTCATAGAATATTATGCTGTTATATGTTCAGAATGTGTCTTCTGAGATGAGACGCTGATTAATTTTATGGATAGGTACCAGTGTTTCTGAACAACGCTGGTACCTGTCTACCAAACTGTGTGGTGTCACATCATGGAAGACTGTAATCTTAATACTCACCTCCTTGTGAACCTCAGGTCTTGTCCTCATTTATTGCAGATTAAAACGATCCTCAGTGGATTCATCATCAGAGGTTACCTCGGCAAATGGACACTGATAATCAAGTCCGTCGGCATCATGTTGGCTGTGTCGGCTGGTCTCAGTCTTGGGAAGGAGGGGCCAATGGTTCACATAGCGTGCTGCATAGGTAGGTTTCAGTTAATGGTTTCCAGAGTATGCCTTTTACCTCCCCTGATGGACCCATATAATTGGTTTGGGGGGGGGGCACTCAGTATTTTTGGGAAAGGTATGTAGTAAGATTTGAATTGATTTAATTACTTGCTTACTTACAGAGCTGAGCCCTTCTTGAGGAGAAGCCAATTCTGCAGCTACTCAAGAAATTCCCAGCATTTCATGGAACCCAAAGGTTCATTACCGTGTTCACAAGCGCCCTCCACTGGTCCCTATCCTGAGCCAGATCAACCCAATCCATCCCATCCCATCCTATCTCTAAAATCCATTTTAATATTGAAGAAAGCAGTCTTCTGGGATTTTGCACCGTGTATATGTGGTGTTAACCACATATACATGGTGCCAAATCCCAGAAGACTGCTTTCTTCATAGTCACCGCCGTGAAAGCCTCAAATCTTACATTTTAATATTGTCCACCCACCTATGCCTTGGTCTTCCCAGTGGTCTCTTTCCTTCCAGCTTTCGCACCAGTATCCTAGATGCATTCCTGATCTCCCCCATTCATGTTGCATGCCCTGCCCACCTCATCCTCCTTGACTTGATCATTCTAATTATACTTGGAGAAGAGTACAAGTTATCAAAATGTCATAACATTTGTAAACTCCTGATAAATATCAGCTGATAAAAACGTAAAATGTATTGATTTTAAGAATTGGAAACCGAAGGAACTGTTCCTTGTGCAGAGTGACACACAGTTCAGAAGTCGTGGTGTGGTGAGGAACATCAATATATAAAATTTGAATTTAAACAGACAGTGAGTATGAGCATATGGATAGGAGCATAAACACTCATCCAGTCGTTCTGATACAGTGGCTGTATACATACGTGATCTGATACATAAAACTGATTTGCCAAAGAAGTGACTAAGATACAACTTTTATTATCTCAGTTTGCTCTTGAACATTTCTCTCCTTTATCCTTTAGTTGTGCAACTTTTAATGCCATATTTGTTTATCACCAGGGAACATACTGTCATATTTGTTCCCCAAATACGGCCGCAACGAAGCCAAGAAGAGGGAGATTCTCTCGGCAGCAGCTGCAGCCGGCGTGTCTGTAGCTTTTGGTGCCCCTATTGGAGGAGTGCTTTTCAGCTTGGAGGAAGTGAGTATCATCACTCATTTTGCATGCAGCCTTTCGTTTGAATCCTATTAGCAAATCCGCAGGGCGCATCGCCTGTGTAACTCTCTCATTGCCTAAAGAAGGATCCTTGGGACAGTGATATTCACTTAGTCAAGAAATTCTGTGTTCAGCTTTTACATGCCATCTATATGGTAAGTATTGGAACCACACAGAATCTGTGATATCAAGGAAGTTGTCAGTGCATAATTTGGGGGAAGGGGCTTCTTTATGATTTTTAGTATTTTAGACCATATTGCTGTGAATGGTTAGGTAATGGATAAATAATGAATGGGAAGGACTGGAAGGGAGTGATTGTGGCTTAATTGTTGTAATATTTTCGCTTTTCCCTGGGGCAGGGGGCTGTAGAAGACCTTGTAAAGCCCCAGGATATCTGGCATCCTGGGCAAGATACAAACCGTACACCTCCCGAGTACAAGTCTAGAACATTGCTGCTATAGCACTTCGTTCAGCATCCTGAAACAGAGCGTATCGCTGATGGTATCATGGACAGACAAGGATGCATTATTCAGATTGTGTGCATATGACATCATTTTCTTAGGAATTTAACGATGGCAGTGATCATTCCCAGTGTGCTGAAGGTAGTTCAGTTTTGCAATGTTGTGTGTCTCTTGTGTTCTTTCAGGTCAGCTATTACTTCCCACTGAAGACTTTGTGGCGGTCATTCTTCTGCGCCCTGGTGGCAGCTTTCATCCTCCGCTCCATAAACCCGTTCGGAAATGAACATTCTGTACTCTTCTATGTGGAGTACAATAAACCGTGGATATTCTTCGAACTTGTTCCCTTTGTTGCCTTGGGAATTATAGGGGTGAGCTTTGCATAAGTTTATACTTGACATTAATTCTGCTCTTTCTGGGTTTTTTGGACATTGAGGATGTTGCCAGCATTGCTGAGATTTCAGTTGTACTTGCTGTCTCCATCTTCAGGGTCGAGGTGAGTGGGATAAGTTCATGTTTAGATACATACAAGTTTCAGCAGATGGGGGTGGGGGGTGGGGGGTGCCTGGTCTTGGCCAGTAGGGACAGTAAACGGAGAAATGTTATCAAAAATGGCCCTTTTAAGGGCCATCAGACATGCCAAACATGGTCATAATGTTCAGGGTCTAATCACTTCTGAGGTAACGTCAACCTACTGAATCAGCATGGAACTGAAATATATACAAATTTCCTGTCGTATTTATAGCTGGGGCAGTTTTTCCTAATGTCTGCATTTATGGCAGAGGGGTAAGGGTTGGGGAAAGTATACAGTAAATTGCGGGGCATGCAGTAGCATAGTTGGTTGAGGCACTGTGCTACAGGGATTCGATTCCCAATGAGGTCATCAGATTTTTCAGCTGACCTAATCCTTCCAGCCGCACTATGGCCCTGGGGTCTACTCAGCCTCTAACAGAAATGAGTACCAGGAATCTTCCTGGGAGTAAAGGGAGGCCGGCTGGCGCATACGGCTGACAACCTCACAGCCACCTGTGAGATGATTGCCTAGAAAATGTGAGCGCCTCGTCGTCTCACAATCCTGTGGGCCTCCATGGCCTGTTACAGGGATAGCTTTACCGTTTACGTTTTTTATGCAGTAAATTGTGCACTTTATGCTCATTACACAGGCCTACAAAAAAAAATTTTTTTTTGGTGTCTAGGATTTTAGAACTAATTTTAGTTATATTTAAGGCGCTGAATCTAACTATAAAATCAGTTTTTCTTTACCAGCTCTACTTTTTTAGATCAGCGTTTTTGTATTTTCCCTCTAATCACCCTTCTGATTGTAATGAAGGTGACAGTGATTATGAAGGGATGTCGTCAATCCCTCAACGTTTTAACCAGGATGAGTTAAATGACCTCATCAGAGATCTCAACCTGTCAAAAGAAGCTTCTGAATTACTGGCTTCTAGGTTGAACGACAAAAATTTACTGGAACAAGAAACCAAAATTTCCTTTTACCGCACAAGAGAAACGGATCTGCTACCCTTCTTCTCTCAAGATTACAATCTTGTATATTGTCACGAAATTAGAGGACTCTTGGAAAAAATGGCTCTTCCTGAATATTTTCCCGATGATTGGCGCCTATTTATTGACAGCTCAANGAGGAACAAGGTGAAAGATTTCACCAGGATATTAAAACTATGGAGGACCGCTACCAAGGAAGATGGGATACACACATGATGGCAGATTACTGCTGGAGTTTAAAAAGGGACTGTTCTAAAATACATTCAAGAAAGTCACGAAAAAGAAGCTTCCGTAGTGTTCCGTGACTATAGTTGGTTTGACTGTTATATATAGTCGATGATTTTTTCCTCTATCTTTGTATTTAATATAATAAAATAAAAATATAATTATAATATAGTAATAAAAATTCCATGTTGAGTTTTTTTATTTGATCCACTGATTTAACTTAAAATAGTGTAACGTATATTTCACCAAAATGTTATATCTTAAAAATTTGAGCTCCTAGGCAAAAACTAATGCCATATTTGAATTCAGGGCATCAAATTCATATGAAATCAGCTCCAAATACCCCGGCACCAAAACAGCTGTTGGCCTGTGTTATTGATCCTGAGATTTTTGATATTCATTTCCCACTTTGCCTCTTAAAACATGTTATTGAAATGGCATCATATTTTTAAATTTATGCGATTGGAGATACCTGCTGGGTATGTATGAGTACTGTCCTCCAGTGAAAAGAAGACAAGACAATTATCTATGCCTGCCTGCATGTACTGTGTAAGCTAAAAACATCTGCATAATTTTTGGAGGACTCTTACCATTGTTTGAAGCTTGATGTGTCTGTGAATGAACAGTAGAAAGATCAAATTCAGTAAGTTCTACACACTACTTGCATCATGTTTTTTCATTCATCTGTGTCGCATTCTGATGATGACACATCCTGATAAGATGTTTTTGTCTGACAGTAAGAGGCTTCACCACGACAGCAATGGTCCATGTAGATAAATAGACNTTTCTTCATAGTCACCGCCGTGAAAGCCTCAAATCTTACAAATAGACAAATATCTTGTAACTTCTGTTTGCAGGGCATGGTAGCTACTCTGTTCATTAAGGCTAATCTGTATTGGTGTCGCTACCGCAAAGTTTCCAAGCTGGGGCAATATCCAGTGACCGAAGTGCTAGTCGTTGCTGTGGTCACGGCCGTCATAGCATATCCAAACCCGTACACTCGAATGAATACAAGTCAACTCATATTCTTACTCTTCAGTCAATGTGGTGTTTCAAACTCAGACAATCTCTGGTATGTATTGGTTTATTGAATTGTGTACCTCAGGCTACATAGTGTAAAATAGTAGTATTATTAGTTAATAATGAACTGAAAAAGATGTGGAAGGAAACAGTCATGATATAATTTTCTGGGTGGGATTGAGCTGGCATAGCTTGGACAGTATAGGGAGGGAACATGCTGCAGGCTGGACAAGTCTGATTTACACTAAAGGCAGAAGTTTTTCTTTTCTCCACAGTGACCAAACTGGCTCGGGAACGCTTCAGGCCTACTGTCTAATGGGTGTCAGGGCTCTGTCCCCAGAAGTTAAATAGCTGGACCCACTTCTAGTGCCGAAGTTAATATATGGGAGGTATACTTCCGTTTCCCCATAGGTCTTCATGGTGTGGTGCTTAATTAAGCACAAATTTACCTTTATCTGAATGTTATGCAGCTGTATAATTTTTTTGTTTCTCAGCAGATGTGCGTGAATCTGAATATATTGTATACATACTGTATAATGTAAGTGATGGCACCTTGTCCTGTACATTATGTGGCAGTTATGTTTTGTCTTGTGGAGAAATGTCTGGGGTTTATTTGTGTGTACTGGTGAACTGGCCCAAGATTTGCCACCCCATTCATGTAATAGTAAGTGTTCTTGTTTTAAGTCAGTTATATTTGATTGCAGCGACTACAACCGCAACTTCACTGATGTAAATTCTGCCATTGAAATAGCGGCAGCGGGCCCAGGGGTGTACAAAGCCGTGTGGCTCCTCGTTCTAGCTCTCGTGTTCAAGTTGGTGGCAACGATCTTCACGTTTGGCTTCAAGGCACCTTGCGGCCTTTTTATACCCAGTCTTTGTCTGGGCGCCATAATGGGTAGGATAGTGGGTATTGGCATGGAACAGCTTGCCTACAACTACCCACACATCTGGCTGTTCAGTGGGGAATGTTCCACTGGCGACGACTGTATCACGCCCGGCTTATATGCCATGGTGGGAGCAGCAGCTGTGCTGGGAGGTGTCACCAGGATGACAGGTTTGTGTTCTCTTATGCAAGTGGTGTGTGTAAGGTAAGGCAAGGCTGTCCCTATAACAGGCCGTGGGGGCCCATAGGGTTGTGAGACGTCAGAGCTACCACATTTTGGAATTACTGGGTTTTTGGACTTTTTCCATCCTCTGGTATTCTAGAAAATAGAAAACGCAACGTTTTGGAAACTCCTCAGGTGAGGGGGGGGAAGACGACACCTGTTCTGTTGGGCCCCTTAGAAAGAGTTACGTGATGCAGGGCTGATAACCCTTAATGTGATGTAATATTTTTTAAAATCTCTTTAGTAAAAGGAACTAGAACACAGCAGTGATATTTGTGTGTGTCAGCAGAATGTTGAATATACTGTTTCAGTGTCTTTGGTGGTGATCATGTTTGAGCTTACTGGGGGCGTGCGCTACATTGTGCCGCTGATGGCAGCTGCCATGGCCAGCAAGTGGGTGGGAGATGCTTTGGGTCGGCAGGGTATATATGACGCTCACATTGAGCTCAACGGCTACCCGTTCCTCGACAGCAAAGAAGAATTTGCTCATACTTCTCTTGCGGCAGATGTAATGCAGCCCAAGTAAGTGCATAATATTATACTGCAGAATCCTGCTGTGCTCGTGATTCTCACCGTCCCCACGCAACTTAATACATGTATTCAGCAACGTTCATCTCTTCCTGTTGTTCAAATAATAAGAAGAGATGCATGAATTCCTGCACAAGGGGACTATTTTGAAAGGGGTAATATTCAGTAAGCTCTAGAGAAATTATTTATAGACAAATTTTGGGAAGTTTTAAACAACCTTTTCACGTAACAAATGTTGAGACGTCCCATTGAAATCTCAGTGGGTCTTACACTAGTACATGTTAGCTGGTTGACGTAATCATTCTGCTATTTCCTTTATTGTTGTCATTCACATATCCAGCCGACATATTACCTGTGTCTCGTGCCAGAGATTAAGTTGAGCAAGGAACCAGCTCACTCTTTCACCCTGAAGAGATGGAGGCAGTATGTTTCTCGGAAACACCAGTAAATTTCTGTGATAACATATGGTATGATATCCCAGAGGATTGTACTGCTTCATATATGATTTTGAATTTGCCTGTAACAGACCACTTGTTTCAGACATAATGAGCCATTGAGCGTGCTTACTCAGGACTCGATGACAGTGGATGATGTAGAGACGCTGCTCAAAGAGACGGAACATAATGGCTTCCCTGTGGTCGTATCCAGAGAGTCACAGTACCTGGTGGGCTTTGTGCTTCGTCGTGATCTCAATCTTGCAATAGGTAAGAAACACATTTCAAGGAAGAAAATCATGGTATTTACCAGACTGTACAACAACTTCAGTGGTAAGTTTTGAGGACGAATAGTTTTATTTCTTCCAGTAAAATTACTGTTTGGATAGTATACCTACACATCACATCAGAGTAGCACGTGAAATTCTGTGTTTCTTGAGTGACATGTGAATGTGTAGTAATAACCATCAGTGCCGTGTGCAGTTTGTAAGAATGAACTTAAATAGCTAAGAGTTCCACTTGCTTCTACTTGGTGTTCCACGATCATATCTTGGGATTTACTCTTTGCTGGTATGTACACAATTGCCATAAATACTCTGAAAACAAGTGTTATATATAAATGTCCAGCTTTAGCACTAGTGCCATATATGAGGTTTATTCAAGTGAAACCCTTGTGTATTTGGCCATGTTCAGTTCCCTCAGAAAGTACGGAAGGGCTGTAGATTTGGGTCAGATGAAAATGTCAGCTCCACTGTGGGGCGTTGGTTCCAGCAGCAGGCTAGGGAGATCTTAGCTTAGGGGATTCATCAGTTGGTGTGTAAGTGCCTGCCTTGACACCCATGGGGACTCTTTTTAATGGCCTCTGCTTCCCCAACCAGAACAACCCTCATACATGAGCTAAATTAAGTAATATTATATGTAGTCTTCTGGGACTTGGTGCCATGTAGTTTAGCCGATGGGTACCAGCATTTTAGAGGAACCTGCTTTCTCCGTCTTCAAGGTAGAAGAAGTTGGAGACAGCAGGTTCCTGAAAAGTGGCGTGTACCCAGTAGATCACATGACATCACATCACAGAAGAGTGTATAATCTTGATACCATTTTGAGTACCTTGAAACGTTTAGACTAACAGTCTCCATGCAATTGTGGTGGCCCTGTGCATTTTATATCTAATAAGCATATGACTGTACTGCAGCGAATGCAAAGCGCACACTTGAGGGAATCTGTGGGCAGTCCCTCGTCCTGTTTGTGAACTCGGCTCCGCCCCAGGCAACAGGCCCTCCTCCGCTGAAGCTGAAGAAAATCCTGGACATGGCACCCATCACCATGACTGATCAGACTCCCATGGAGACGGTAGTAGACATGTTCCGCAAGCTGGGGCTGCGACAGACGCTTGTCACACATAACGGGTAAGGACAGAACCTCTGCATCCTGAAGGAACTCATGATGGCTCCTCTTTTGGAGGTGTTCTACCTGGGCCTTACAAGGATGCATTCATAACTTCCCTCTCAGGGCCTAAATCCGCTTCTGTTCTGCCCTTTCATCCCACTCTTTCTTTCTTTTATTAATTTTTTTTTACCCTTTTATCCCATTTCTCTTATGTCCCACCCCAGGAAAACGGTCTTTTTCAAGGCTTTGGTTCCAGTTGGCTTGTTCATCTCCCAAGTCCCAATGATCCCTTCCTTACATTACATAACATTCCATCTTTCCCTGCTTGGATAACTTTTCACTCAGGTTCCTGTGAAATGTAGGTACGTTTCTACCAGACTGCATGGCATCATATCCACAGAGGATCATAATCTTTACATTCATCAGTGTGGAAGCCCCAAACCTCATAACATGTAACCTGCCTGAACGGTGTCCATCTTTCCTCAACGTGCTAGTGTTCTCTTCATTGGAACTTTGGCACTTAAAGGGGTGAGCAGACAGCATGGCTGCAGCTGTATGTACAGTGCAACCAGCTTACAGCAGAGGTTTGCAAAGAAAGTTAATACTAGCTCCTGAATCTGTGACGTTAAGTTGCTCTTAGTTACTTGATTTCACTGAAATGTAACAAAAACTCTCAGGTGGTCAGCCAGATTAGTTTTATGTCAACATTGGACTTTGACTTCAAATTGATGCAGTTGCTAATCTGGGAAAATTCAGTCACTTTTAGACAGCATGAAAACTTCAAGTCTTACATATGTAATGTTTTTGTTTAGCCGCCTGCTTGGTGTAATCACAAAGAAGGACGTACTTCGACATGTGAAACAGATGGACAACGAAGATCCAAATTCTGTTCTGTTCAACTGAAAACTACCCCAACTGGAAAGATGGAGACGTCTGTTCATTGATTTGAACAGCCATGTGTTCGGAACTGATGCAGCACAAGTCTAGACAAGCTGCGATTCTGAGAACGTTGTTATGTCGAGGCTGCTTTACTGCTCCATTTGCAGGAAGTGATGATTTAGTGTGGTACAGTTGGTACCACATGTGAATTGTTAGCGGAGACTTCTGTGCAGAATACATCACTTGACACCTTTGAATGAATTTACAATTTGGAGAAGACTGTGTTAGGACTATCCATGAATTTGTTCAGTCATAAAACTTGTCTTTATTTTATAAATAAAAATAATGGGGAGGAATATCTGTAGGAATGTTTATGTGTATGCTCTTCTATTTATGTTTTAATTAATCAGGAATAATTTTAGCACTACCATAATTTATAAAGATTTCTTTATTTTTTGTAGTAGTAAATTTTTACACAAGGGTTTATGTGCTGTTTGAAAATACTTGCCTGTGTCATGGTAAATATGAGACTATGGATGCGTTCTCCACCTTTATTCATTGATATTATTATTATTATTATTATTGTACAGTAGGTGTAAGGTGGGCAGAGGGGCAGGTAGTGTACATATTGCATTAATATTCCTTGTGTGTTGCTTAGGATTTTGATCATTGCATGTTTATGCTGGCAGCTAGTCACCTGTTATCCGTTGTCACCGTTTATGAAGAAGTTTAGAATGATGGTGATCATTAATATTAATGTGGAATTTCATAATTAAATGTATCAAGAATTGATATGTAAAGTTCATGTGTCCTCATTTATGTGTATGCTCTCCTGTTTTCATGAATTTGTATATAGAATTTATTGGCCAAATGTCATATGTAAATATATACAAGAATTTACTGCAAAGTGGATATTTGTGTGCAGTGACGCAGTTTCTGTAAAATTGGATCATTTGCAAAGTTTTCTTCTGTGGATATAAGGATCTCTGTCTATGCAGCATGTCTATACAACTCTCATGTCCGACAGGTTGGTATCATTTCATGTCTTGAGATAATTTTTCTTCATACAGGGTGGTTATAAAGAAACTCTGCTCTTCAGTATACAGCTGTTAATAATGTTTAGGCATTTTATTAAAATTACCAAGTAAATTGGTTTAGTATTATTTCTGACTTCATTTAGTAGTTTCTGATTCAAACCTCAGCTGGGACATCGAGTATCTTGATGATTTTCCAATGTTTAGGCATTTTATTAAAATTACCAAGTAAATTGGTTTAGTATTATTTCTGACTTCATTTAGTAGTTTCTGATTCAAACCTCAGCTGGGACATCGAGTATCTTGATGATTTTCCATTGTTTTTCTGTTGGTCCCTGCAGACAAATGCTAGGATAGTATCATCAGTTACGTCACAACTCCTCCTTTCCACATCCTTTTAAATTTAATATTCTTTGTTATCCAGTCATTTGATCCCATATAATCTTGCTTACTGACCATCATGAAATAAACTACAGGTAAATAAATTCTGGTACTTGATTGAAATTACTTAGTGGTTTGACACACTCTGCATGTGGAATATCATTATCCTTGGAAGTTGCAGGAAAACTTGTTTTCCTCTGTTTCAGTGTCTGTCTAGTTTTTGTACGTAATTTTAATTTTACTCATCTGTTCTCTGCTTACATAATGTGTTGCCTTGTCATGTCTTTATGCAGTGCAGCCTTCAGTCGGAAAAGGTTTACATTTTATTAGTCAAATGGAGTAGCACAGTGAATACACTTGAGTTGCAAAGACTATGGTCTTTATACAAGAATGCAACAAATATATGTAGTTTCATCTCTTTATTAACTGCCATAACATAGTAGATTTCTATGTTTTAGCACCACTTGAATAACTAGAAACATCATCAGAGAGTTACACTTTATTCCTTTAGCAATGTAAAATGGAGTTAACGGGTGTGTCAACTTACTGTCACAGATTTACGCATGGTATAATTCATGAAGGAGAGTGAAACTCCTATTTAATGAAGCTCGTACAGAAATGCATACAGCTGCATAATCAGTAATGTCCAATTTCTGAAACGGTTAGGTGGATTCTGAAAGAAACATGGTTATGTGGGAATTATTTCCAGCAGTAGAGAAAATAATACTGACTGTTGTTTGGACGATGGTCACACAAACTCGAGATACGAACTGTAGAAGGTAAAAAAAGCTGTTTACACTCAAGTGTCAGTTATTTGCTAAATCTGAATTTGTCAAGTACAGCTCATCCATTGGCTTTGACTCAATCTGGGAATAGTGCCTAAATCAATATCTCACTATTACAGTGTCTAGGCAGAGTGTGTGTGTGACAGGCATGGTGTTTATCATCATCTGTCATAATTTCTGTCTGTAGCTATTACAAGTCTCAGCAGTCTTACCAAAACGTGCAATATTTGTGTTCTTTGGATTTTTGTAGCTATGGTTAAATGTGTGGCTTCAGCTTCCATGACTGTGCGTCATCAAATGTAGAAGTTTTTCTAACATTTCGGCTAACCTTGTAGTTACCGTCTTCACACTTGATGACATTGAGAGGGCTTCGCATTAGGCATGTGTCAAAGCTAAAGCTGTGAGTGGGTGAGCAGAGGAGCAGGATGCTAGCCAATAGGGAGTGACTGTGCAGTTAATGATTAGAGTTGCAGTAACCAGTCATTTGTTACATAAATTATCGTTCCCCACTTAAAGTGTTCTAATTAATTTGAGTTAAAAGGACATTTAATGTAACTTGGTTTAAAGATAAGGAAACTTGCTACTTCAGAACTAAACATTTACAGTAGATCAATGTTTATAATGTATAAGATGGGTTAAACCAACCGAGAAGTGTGCATAATATCTCCCTTGACCAAAAGTTTAATCCTGTTGTGGACACAAATGACAGACCTGTACTATTATGGGCACAGGGAAAGGCCATGGAGTAACCCCTTGGGCGTGTCAAGCTCTTCCTCATACGACTTCATGTGCCATACTGACGGCATTTGTTGCTTGAAGCTCATAAAGAAGGCTTCCAGGATTTGAACATCATTCTAGATTCTAAAATAGGGAGATAAAATAAATGCATGTAATCAGCATAATTGTAAAAGCTCTATAATGGATAATGCTCAGTGGGATAGGCAAGCCAAGCATTTCCCCCCTTCCCAGATTTTTCAAAAAATAAAATACCGAATTTTAGAAAATAGTCTATGTATAATAGCAGTAATTAAAAGTATTTTTAATAATATATTCTTTTGTCCCAAATACTGCAGGGAAATCAGTAAAAATAGTCTAAATAGCTTAAATTCAAGAATTGAGGATCTCACACTAATTACTGTGAACAATAGTGTTTTTAGGGATATAACGTTGTAGTGTGGAAGAAGAAGTGAACTTTACCTGATTACACAGTGTTACAGCCTTACATCTCTGGCTCACATATAAGTCTAAGCAAATTTTGCTAGCTCTTCACCAAATGGAAAGGATCATAGTAGCATTAGTCTCAAAGTCCATGCTTAATCATAACTGCTTTATAATAATATCTGCATGATAGAGGGAAGTTTCTTTGTGATTACCCTGTTAGTGTGAGCTACAGAACAAAATATATTGGTAATTTTAGTGAAGTGTTTTTAATTGAATTACCTTGCATATTACAAAGTGTTCAGAAGTTCACATGTATTGATTTTACCTTGGAATTCATTGATAATTATTAAGATGAAAATATCCTTTGATAAAATTTTGAAGATCTCATTGTTTTCCTGGAAAACATGATTAAAACTTAATGTGACATAGCTACACAGTATGTGAACACTGCAGTCTTGTGGGTTGTAACTAAGGGAGGCAGTATGTTTCTCTGAAATGTCAGTCATTTTCTGATTTACACAGTGTTACAACCCAAAAGACTGTCCTCATAATCAGAAACCCCAAAACATGTTATGTGTTCACCATAATATGCATTTTCTACAAAGAAGAAAGTTTGCATCAATTGGTTTATTCTGGGATATTTTTATCTCAGTGTCCTTAAGGGGAATTACATGGTGCAAATAACGGAAAACAATTTTTTTTATGTTCATGAGGCTTAACTTGGCCCAAGTAGAAACTGTGGGATGCTGGTACAGTGGAACCCACTTCTGTATTTTCAGCCAAGCTTATAAGCAGCATATGTAGTGTCCTTCATTTAAAGCAGTTCTGAGCATCATGATATCTGCCCCTCCAGAGAAGTAACATCCGCTCATCCAGTGGATGAGTGTGTCCATGCAGTTGTCAGTATATAGAAATATAACTTTCCTGCCTGTTTCATATCCCAGAACTAACAGAACACCCAAAGATATGAAATTTCCTCCATACTCTTCCCCGTCTGTATGGCAACCACAGGCACTGAAGTGGTGTGCAAGAATTGCAGTAGAGTTTTGTGAAGTACTTTTAATTCTCATTCCAAATTCATATCCTTAATCATATGAGTACAGTCTAAGTTTATAATTTGTTATTCTTTATTTAAAATTGTAGTTAGTATGCTGTGATATTAATGAGGATAGCAGTCATATCCTGCTGTGTTAAGGCAGTATCACAGGGGGAGATCATTAGTTTTTGGTCACAGTATTTCTGAAAAGAAATGAGGAAACATAGTGAAGTGGTTCTGCCCATGTGATGGAGCTTATAAAAGGATGAATAACTACCATGACTGGCAAGAAATGGACCATAAGGAAACTATATGTTCTTCTCAGAAGTATCCAGTGATCAGCTTTCATCAAGTTGTCCAACAGAAATGGGTTCCACTGTGATTTGGAGGTTATGTATTTGTATGATGCCCAGACACACTAATTCACTGTTACAGAATGGAAATGGATAGTCATCGTATGTGCTGTATAAAAGCAAGAATATTTTCAGACAAATTAATGTATTCAAAGTGAATAATTTTGACAGTGAAATTAATGACGAAAATATTTGTTATCTGTAATGTATTGAACTGTTAGGTATACCTATTAACAACTAATGGCCAGCAGTAGACATTGCTAACCAATGTAATGAAACTTGTCACTGTTAACCATCTGCCCTGAAATTATTAAAATAATTTTGTAAAACATCTCTTGCATTCTATTTTAATATTTCTACAGTAAATTGAATGTTCATACAAATGAAATAGAAAAGCTGAAGATCAACTTAATGTGTAAGGTAAGTCTCTGGACTTAATTAATCAAGCACTATGCCATGAAGATGCATGGGACACTGGAAGTATAGCTCCACCATTCTTGACCTGCACTACATGGAGATGAGGTGTGAGCTTCAAGCTTTGGCCATTTTGCCCCTGGACTGAGGATCCTCTGCTATGCGCTGGATGGGCCTCAGAGCTGGTCTGGATGCTGTGGAGTGGAAAGAAATCTCTTTCCCCTGCTGGGAATCAAACCCGGGCCATCCAGCCCTTAGCTTGTCACTCTGCTGACTGAATTATGAAACGACTGCATTATTATTATTATTATTATTATTATTATTATTGTTGTTGTTGTTGTTGTTGTTACTGCTACTGCTGCCGCTGTTGTTTCCTTCTGGAGGAATCGTGTGTGTGTGTGTGTGTGTATATATATATATATGTCACTTGTATTAGTGACTATAGACGGGGTTTTGGAATGTATGGTTGGATATATTGCACCTTGTACATTGACACAACTCAGGACTACAAGCAATACAGTGCTATCGCTGATGTACTCACTTTTCATTTCACCCTTACACATGCACTAGGATTCTTAGTCTTCACTAATCATATCCTGGCAAAGGATTTATCACAGTCTCACTGTAATTTCAAAACACACATGGAGTCTTCTTTTCATAGCCTGACTCATTTCTTACCATTATCCTGCAACTGCCAACACAGTTCAGTTCCAAGCTCATATTCCGGCAGGCTGGCATTTCGAACTAGACTCTGTTATCTCGAATACTAAGCTTGGTCGCGTTAAGTCAAAGTCACATTGCGACTGATGGTCAGTCAGTCAGTCAGTCAATCTAGGGCTCATGACCAGATATTTATTACTGTTTGACAGTTTAGGTCTTGTTATTGTGGGGCCCTCTCTGAGTACATCTGCATTTGTTGAATCAGTAATGTTTCCAGATCACACTTTTATGTGAAGTGAGATTTGCATATGCTGAAACATTGTAATAATTCTCATCCATGTAACCTAGGCAGTGATTGTAATAACACTCATAAAGCATTCATTGCCCCATTCCAAATTCACAGAACTCTGTCCACGCGAGTGTGGCTTATCTCCCAATTTGTGTATAATCTCTGTACTTACTGAACCCTGCCATTGTTTAGATAAAATGTATTTAAAGTCCACTTTGTGACCGAGTAAACTGAAAGGTTAGGAATGATTGTAAAGCCTACGAAGGTCAAATATGTGTAAACATCATTAATATTGGTACATAAAAACGTAGATCTCCTTTGCCATCATCCTATCAGGAGCACCAGAGTATCTCTTTGGTTTGCGGAAAAAGGGTCGTAATTCAAGTTCATTATAACATGAGGCGTATAGGGTTATGTTCCTGGAGCTCAAAGCTCGGATCCGATTTTTCAGTATTTTAACTCCAATTATGTTATAGTCTTAAATATTATAAGATCAATTAAAGGATATCAAATAATACATTATCAACTATTGCTGGAGTTCAGCCCTTCTTGAAGAGCCGCCAAATCTGCAGCTACTCAAGAATTTCCTAGCATTTTATGGAACCCAAAGGTTCATTACCGTGCTCACAAGAGCCCTCCACCGGTCCCTGTCCTCAGCCAGATCAATCCAATCCATATCACCCCATCCTAGCTTTCTAAGATCCATTTTAATATTGTCCACCCACTTACACCTTGGTCTTCTCTGTGGTCTCTTTCTTTCTGGCTTTCCCACCAATATCCTGTATGCATTCCTCTTCTCCCAGATTCGTGCTACATGCCCTGCCCACTTCATCCTCCTTGACTTGTTCATTCTAATTATTCTTGGAGAAGAGCACAAGTTATGAAGCTCCTCATTATGTAGTTTTCTCCAACCTCCTGTCACTTCATCTCTCTTCGGTCCAAATATTCTAAACACCCTGTTCTCAGACACCCTCAGTCTACGTTCCTCCCTTAATGTCAGAGACCAAGTTACACACCCATACAGAACCACAGGCAAAATTATAGTTTTGTATATTCTAATTTTTATGTTTTTGGACAGCAGACGAGAAGACAAAAGGTTCTGGACTGAATGGTAGCAAACATTGCCTGAGTTCAATCTCCTCTTAATTTCCTCCTGAATCAGGTTTTGATTTGCTATCTTCGGGTTAACTGCCTATACAGACTTATATCACACACGTTAGTTCTGTAGTGGCCTCTGTATTTTCATTATTATTATTATTATTATCAGCATGATGTGGGCTCATGCCAAGCAAAACGTCACGGGGCGAAATCCGGAATGCCTCTGTCCATTGGGAGTCGAGATGAGTTCTGCCCGAGACAGCCATCTGTGCATGTGTGAGCAAGAGGAAAGTTGTTCTGTACTGCGATTATCGAAGCGTTGTTCCCAGTCTGAGTGATAACCACGTCAGTGCTACTTACATTCTGCAAAACAGTGCCGTTTATAGGACATTCTATTTTTATCAGCAACTGTAACATCAAGATAAAAGCAAGTCCAGAAGTGAATGTTACATTGTTACGTCATTTTGGTATAAATTCGTATAAAAAAGGAGCCAGTTTCTGAGTAAGCGTTCAGACAGTTCCAAGAGACCTTGAAAAAGAAGAAGATTGATTAGTGTTGTAATGAAGATCATGAAATATTCATTATACTGTCTTTCGCTGATTCATGTATCAATTAACATACAATCAATGTGATGTACCAACCGATAAACCAAATTATTATTTCTGAGAAGTCCTGTAAAGAAAAGGTTACGCCTTATTGAGAGCAAGGTTGGCCACATTGGACCCGAAGCAACTCGTCGTGATATTATGGTGAGTCATTTTCTTTCAGTTTGTTCGTTGTTATGTGCAAGGATAGTTTTTTATCATGTGCTGTGTATAAGACGTTCAAAACTTGCTGACATAATGTTTTTGAGTTTAATGTTTCGTGTAGGCCAAGGTAAACGCTTTTGAGTTGTCAAGGGAAGTGAAGTTGGTAAGGTCTCTCCGGTGTCATGTAGGGTAAGGTCAGGAGGAGGCCGTGCAATAGCTCAAGCGGTTAGTCGCTGGCTTCCCACCGCGGCGGCCCGGGTTCGATCCCGGGGTCTGGTCAAGTGGGATTTGTGGTGGACAAAGTGGCGCTGGGGCGGGTTTTCTCCGAGTACTTCGGTTTTCCCTGTCAATCTTCATTCCATCAAATTCTCCATCATCATAATCACCCACGGCAGGCTACAATAGGCCAATCAGTGGCCGCCGTGCCCAGTGGACCCAACTGGACTCAACCCCGCACTAAGCGAATTAAAAAAAATTAAAATTAAAGGTCAGGAAGAGGAGAGAACATCAAGACATGAACTGTTGATTAGACTCGTAAAGCCCAAATAAGGTAGTCACGTTGGGAAAGGAGACAGCATTTGTTGAAGCACATACAGAAAGACGAATTCCGTCTCTTTGCGAGCGCTTGTATACAAGAAACCCCGACTGTCTGTCTGTCCGTCTGTGCAGCGCATTTTGTTTTCAGTTTTGCAGAAAAGATGCAGATGAGCGCTTGCAGAAGTACAAATAACATTGGCCTGCTAATTCAAATTTGGTTCTTATCGGTCAAACACAAACCATAATTTTTGAGCACTCAAATCGAAATATACAAATTCTGTGTAAAACGGATTTGCCCCCCCTCCCCCCCCCAAAAAAAACAGAATACTGCTTTTAATAAATCCTGTATCTCTCTACGAAATTAACGGCCGTGGGGTTTCGTTGCGCTGACCACGCGACACCCTCTATCCGCTAACTTTGGCACTAACTACGCCGACAAGCGGCTGTCGCTCGGCCGGTATAGTTCGCTTGCGGAGTAAAACCACGGAGTTTGTTTGTATCTCTCTAATATCGACTACCTGTCTATGCCAGCTTACTCCAGAAGTGATAGCATATTCCCAGCCATGATGCTGTCACAATAAGAATATAATTTCGCTGCAACTTGACGCCGTAAACATTGATATTTATTTATTTAATGTTTTTATTTAACGACGCTGTCGCTGGGTTCGAATCTCGGTCGGGATATCGGGTACCTTGAGGGTTGTCGAGGTTTTCCTCAGCACCTCCATGCAAGTGCCAAGATATTACCTGAATTAGGCAACAACCATTTCCTTGCAACTGTTCTCCATTTCGTCAGCCATCCTGCTTAAGACTGTACATAATGCAGATATTGATAAGTGACGTAAATTAAAAAGAAAATAACGCTGTCAGTGTGCTGGGCTCACAGTCGCCGAATTGGAAGAGATTAATGAAACTGTGAGGATCCTGAAGGAAGTGGTCGTCATCTGTTCAGGTATTGTCACAGTATTTTACTGGATGGACCGAACAAAAACAGGAAAATTCATTAAGATGGTAGGTGTCTCAGAAGAGATTCGAACCGAGTACAAGTTAGATGCGTTACCTCTCGATCCAACTTGATGCTTAAATTATCCCCCAAAAAAAGTAATTAAAATTATGTTTCTTTCTCTTCTAAGCACCCCCCCCCAAAAAAATTGCTGTCACCTTTCTTATTCATAAAATAATTTTAAAAATGTCAGCATTTGTAAGGCCCGTTTGGCGATCTTTGAACAATTTCTGTGTGTCTTATCTGCAGTCATGCCCATTGGCCTGGATCATTAAAATTATTTCTCTGGTTGGCCATATACACTTTAACTGCACGCAGCTGAGTCTTTCTTTAGAAGCTAGAAGTTGCTCATCTAATCAAAAGATTCGCCATATTTTACAGAACCCATAGGTTCATCACCACCATTCCCTATCCCGAGGCAGATGAATTGAGTTCACACTCCCATCCTATTTCTCAAAGAGCCATTTTAATATTATCCTCAAATCTACTCATAGGTATTCCTAGTGGTTTATTTCCTACTAAAATTACTCTGTACATACCCCTCTGCCATATCTGCTACATGTCCTCTAATCTTCGTGATCAATGTAATATTATTAGGCAAACAGTGAAGCTCCACATTACGTAGTTTTCTCCAGTCATGCGTATTTAAATTTACATTTGCTACAACTTATAAAGGAAATGTGATGAGTGTAGATGGCAAATTTGGAGAAATAATTTATGTGTACGGTAAGGGTTGTTGCTGAAATGGGACTTGTTCAGTCTTGTTGTGTGTGGATTCGTTTCCTCACGCGCTACTGTTGCAACAAGCTTGCTCTGCCACACAGTGTAGTTTGTATCTCAGCAAATCTTACTGACGTCATGTTATAACACGTGACAACTTCCCGTTGAATTTTCAACGGGCGGCATATTTGATGCTGTGTGTACCCTTGATTCCCACTGTGTTGTTGCGTCATGAAAGCTTTCGGGGGTTCCCCGCGTAGAATGTCGCAAGAATTTCCTGCGCTTCGCCCAGCATCGCAGTTGCCATCCTCAGGCTGCTGGTTCGGGTTCGGGTCAATTGTTACGGGTCCCTTCGAGGACCTTATTCATAACTGCGGTGGAAGTTAAGAGTATAACACGTGACGAGACTTCACGTTGAATTTTCAACGGGCGTTACGCTAGCTAGCTGTTATATCAGTGTCCTGACTTTTCTGAAATGCGGCAAATTTGATGCTGGGTGTAACCTTGATTCCCGCTGTGCTGTTGCGTCATGAAAGCACAAGGCGATGTTGATCTGTGTAGGAACATGGTGACACCGTATTGTTTGGTTTATTGTTCACAGTCCACTTGGACAACACGGTGGTTCCCATGCGTGAAACACACTTCATTGCTTGCCAAGCAATGCTTGGTGATATGGACGGGCTCCAATGAGTGTTTATTCTTCATAAATTCTTGACGAAAGACAGAGACAAGTCTCCGAAACGTTACACATCCCTTTATATGCAGACGCAGACAGGAAGATGCCCCTCCCCACGAAGAAAACGATTATATGTGTCTTTAACCACTGTCCGTGTTTCGAGACCTGCCGTTCTCAGAATGCGATGTGAATTTGGCTAAGTCCAGTGACTGAGATGGGGCACTGTGCTACATGCCGGAAGGTCGCGGATTCCAGTCCCGATGAGGTGGATTTTTTCAGTTGACCTAATCCTTCCAGCCGCACTATGGCCCTGGGGTCGACTTAGCCTCTAACAGAAATGAGTACCAGGAATCTTCCTGGGGCTAAAGGGCGGCCGGCGCGTAAGGCTGACAGCCTCACCGCCATCTGTGAGCCGATTGTCTAGAAAATGTGGGAGCCTCGACGTCTCACAACCCTACGGGCCTCCAGGGCTTGTTACAGGGATACCTTTACCTTTTACCTTCACCACTGACTGAGATAAGGAATGTAGCGTGTCTATGGTGTATAACAGGGACTTACAGTGCACCGCCTTCCCTCCCACAATGCAGCTACAACCACTGCCTCGCCACTTCACGCGCAAGTCAGAGGCCAGGTTCTAAAAACATAAGTAAGATTTCTGGCTGAATGGATTAGTTTGACTAATGGAACCATGAATGAATTAATCATGTTAATGACGTCACATATACAATTTCAGATTACCAACGCGAGTGACAGTAGCACGTGAAGATATCCTGAAGAGAATGTAGAATTTTGACACACAAGCAAAATGATATTTGGGCAGTGCAGTAAAATTAACAATTTTCCATCAAACCATAAGCTGAACGATTTCCACTGGACGCAAAGTTGTTTTTCTTTTCTTCAAACCGACTCTAGAGGGTATCGAGCCTCCTATATCCCATGGGGCAAAGCGGTCGGAGTGTCAAGCTCCGTTTAGTGCCAAAAATCTGATACTTCTCCACACAACTTGATGACGCGGTGCTTACTTAAGCACAGGGACAACTTTGCGTTTACTTTTTACAGAAGAGATTTTACTGTACGTTGATGAAGGAAACGAACAAACCTGTTTCTTCACGTTAATAATGATCTTCTACTGATTGCTGTAAACGCATTTTCGAGCCAAATGGAGCGTAGTCAAGCCTGTGATTTGGAAACTAGTGCAAGGCCATACTCTGTACTTCACTCACCTCACATCACAGCCAATTACACTCACGGAACCTCACGCCACAAGAAACGGAGACCGCAGATATAACCGAGCATTCTACACGCCACAATAAAAACGCCTGTGCCCTAAATCGCTAAAACACAGTTTGGATACCGTTGCAAACGGAGCTAACAGCAACTGCGCCTGTGACTCCAAGTATCACCACATCTCTCCACACACCACGGATACATGTACTGTGACTTGTAGCCCCATTGCCAAATAACAGCGATGTGGACAGGCGACAGTACAACGGCCATCGCTAGGAAACAGTTCTGTGGACACACTTGTTTCCCCAGCAACAAGAGACGACGCAATAATGGAAGAGATGTTTTCTGTTCTGTGCATTCTGGGGCTATGCAACGAGGTAAAAAAGGTAAAGCTATCCATGTAACAGGCCGTGGAGGCCCATAGGGTTGTGAGACTTCGAGGCTCCCACATTTTCTAGACAATCGGCTCACAGATGGAGGTGAGGTTAAGTAAAGCTATCCCTGTAACAGGCCGTGGAGGCCCATATGGTTGTGAGACTTCGAGGCTCCCACATTTTCTAGACAATCGGCTCACAGATGGAGGTGAGGTCAGCCTTACGCGCCGGCCGCCCTCTACCCCCATGAAGATTCCTGGTATTTATTTCTGTTAGAGGCTGAGTCGACCCCAGGGCCATAGTGCGGCTGGAAGGATTAGGTAAATTGAAAAGTACAGTGACCTCATCTGGACTGTACGGACTGGACTACGGGGTTATGAGTGGATACTTATGCGGGCTGGTCCAGCGCTGTGCATGGGGCCCCTCGGATCGGCAGTCTTCGAGTCAAAGGTCACGTCATATC